TCCCCAAGTTTTTACATAACGCCATACACCGTTCGCAGGAAATTGTCTGCTCTACAATTTCTCTCTCTCTGCTCTGGTTTTCCTCCTCATACGGGGCGGAAGTGGTGTAGTGGCAAGTGGCACGCTTACCACGCGAGCGGTCCGGGGATCAAATCCTGGGTCGTGAGTCGCCCGGGCCAACCAAGCCTTCCATCCCTCCGGGGTCGGTTAATTGGTACCAGACTTGTCTGGGAGGATAAAAACACTGACTTGTACATCGGCTGGCCCCCGCAAGTCATTGTATAGGCCACATCGCATTCAAATGCCACTACGAATGTACAAATGGAAGTAGAATGCGTGCCGCATCCCAAAAAGGGATTGATCAACGGCAAATGCTTTATCCTTTTCCTCCCCATTCATTGCAGGTATTTTGAATTTTCAGGCCTGCAAAATGGGAAGTCCAGTCGACGCAAAATAGCCGAACCAACAACTGGCCCTAACTCTATGTTTTCCTGAGAAGGAAGCAGTCAATGATTGACCATCAGCTCAGTCACAACCTCCTTCTTTACATTCCGCTATAGGGCTTGCCAACAAGTCGCGTTGTTCCTTTTTCCAGACTTGGTTTTCCAACCAGAACTCGACGATCAAGCACCATTTTTTGAAATCCAGCTCAGAAGTTTTTTTGCAGCCGAGACATTGAAAAACTAGTGCAATGTTGAAAGATAGTCCAGGCAACGATAATCTCAACTCTAGCCTCGTCCTGGCACTATTTACCCTTTACTGCCCCACTCCTCGAGAACTGAGCCGGATTTTTATCGAAATTGGTCATTGACTGTGAATTTGGCCAGAAACTTGTCTTCGGGGGTAATTCGACCCGTAGAACACGAATATCACATTTGTTTACCGCTAGAACGCCTGGCGCTCGCGTCAGAAGCGCCGGCGCCAAAAGGCGCCAGAACATCTCGGATCCCCAAATTCGCTGGAAAGTTGTCCTCAGAGGTATTTTGACCCGTAGAATATGATTATCACATCAGTTTGTTACGAGTGAACCTGTAGCCTGCGCTACGAGCGCCCGCGCAAAACTGTTGTGATAGCGCCGGCGCCTGTGGCGCGGGCGCCAAGCGTTTTCGCTCTAAACCGGTATTATATTCGTGATCTACGGGTCAAATTACCCCTGAAGGCAAGTTCTAGCAAAATCCACAGTCATGGACGAATTTCGATCAAAATCCGGCTCAGTTCTTGAGGAGTGGGGCAGTAAATAGTGCCCGAATTGTCTTCTACAGTTTGGTTTGCCCGGAGCTTTTAAGTGCATGGCTAGAACCTCGAATTACATGATTTTCACATCAATCGCGGTTCAAAATTATATTTCTGAGCGTGCAAGAGCGCAGGATTTCAATCAGCATTGGTAAAAGCCTTATTTAGAAACCTTTCATAGACGGTATCGGCTAAACACGCTTCGAACTTCTCCCTTGTCAACATAAGCGATGAAGTTCGACGTTGATTGATTTGTAAAAAAAAAACGGAATCAGAGACATATTTCACGAAAGCAGTATGAGGAAAAAAAAACAAAAGAAAACATCGAAAGCCTGCAAATGAGACACTTCTTTTCGCCATTGGTTGTGAGCGTTGTACGAGCGTTTGGCCATGAAATACTATGTAGCCAGGCGAGGGACCAGACGGCAAAGGTTTAACATTGCATATATTTATGGTGCAACACAATGCACTATGGTGCTCACAGCCCTCACATCTTTTTTAGGGTCGCAATACGAGTTTTGAAGCCGACATGAAACTCTTTCGAAAGCCATGAACGTCACCAGTGCCTTACCCAATTTACCGTTTTGCAGTGAAAGTTGAGGTGTGATACAGAAAAAACACGGTATTCACGAGCAAAGGCGTTCGGATGCCAACCATTACCTGAAATCCCAAGATGGATAATAGTTGAGCTGGTTATCAAGTGACTTAAAGGCAGAATTTACGATGAAAAGTTAGCTCATTGGAAATAAGGGTAGAGTGGTCAGTGGAGCAGGGATGAAGAAGAAACCATTTGAAACGGCCCGAAACCCGAGAAATGGGACCCCTTCCTTGCCCGTTGATTTGCGCATTGATGCGACTCTCATCGCTGTGCCCTCTTCAACACTACGCTCTCTCTGCTATCTAATCACTCGCCACGTATAGACCTGCGGCGAGTGATTAGATAGTCGGTGGGCGTACCCCGCCAACCGCGCCAAGAGAGCCATGCTAGATCGCCGAGGTCAAATCTTTCTGCCAATTGCGCGTCGGTCAGCACCCTCAGGAGGTCCGCCTGTCTCCCAACTATGCAATTTTCCCCTTCTTTGACCTTCGTTCTTATCGTGAATTCCTCCTTCAAAGGTTTTGAGTGCTTTATGCAAGCAAATTTTTCATATCAAAATTAGTGAATTCGTGTGTTTACCAATCATCCACAGTCATCCTAGCATTGTCAGCTGCAGATGCCTCATTCGAAGAGACAAACGAATCGAATTCATAACAATACCCTTTAATATTTACCTTTTTTTAGTAAAGCATTTTGCAATTTCACGACCATTTCGTCGCATACTCACTTCTGGCTGTAGCCTCAGGGGATTGCCTGTTAGGCTGGTGTCAGAGACCGCGATCCGTCGCTGATTTTCGCGAAACCTGCGACGGAATCGCAAAAATTGCAAGTGCCCCATTTGAACATTTGAAACACTGAATATGAAACAAGTGGAATCATGAGCAGTCGTCATTCAGCCATCACTATCAAGCAGAAGTGGCGGCAGGATTGGAGAACACCTTGCAGTATTGATCGGGCACTTGTGATTTCCGTGACCCGTCGCGCAAATCGCGTGAATCGCGCGAAAATCGCGAAACCTGCGACGGATCGCGGACTCTGACACCAGCCTTACCAAATTACCCTTTACCTATTGATCAATGTGCAAACTTCTAACTTGACAGGTTATCCCCAAAGCGAACGCTCACACGCCATCCCCCTCCGAATATCCAAATTTGCTTTGACACACTCAATAACAATTCCTTGGCATTTGTTTTTTCATATTTTCTCAAGCATGTCAAAAGCAGTAGGCAGACTCACATCCCGTGATTAGCCACACTTTGTTGGCCATGACTGTTCATGAGACATGAAAGGAGTAGGGCCAATGGTCAAGAAAGCAGGCCTTCACCCATATGGTAATTTTGTCGAGCTTTCATTTGTCATGTGTTCCAATGGATGCTGGGATGTGGAAGCTCATTCATTCTTTGAACTTGTTTTGTTTGTTGAAACCTATTCACAAAGATTTATTCACAGCAGATTAGTGACGAGTTCATAGGAGACCAGTTTCCATGCACAAGAGTGAAAAACAAGATTAGTAAGAATAGTTCTTAGTTTCCTCCGCGCAAACGAAGTACAAGATGAAGCGTGGACTCCTTTTGAATATTGTAGTCGGACAAGGTGCGGCCATCCTCTAGCTGCTTGCCTGGAAATGTCAAGATTAGATCCAGGTTATGATAAAAACGCAGTCACACAACTCAGTAGAGATACGAACCGGCAAAGATCAGTCGCTGCTGGTCTGGCGGAATTCCCTCCTTGTCTTGGATCTTGGCCTTGACGTTCTCGATGGTATCAGAAGCTTCCACTTCAAGAGTGATCGTCTTTCCGGTGAGGGTCTTGACGAAGATCTGCATTCCACCGCGAAGTCGGAGAACAAGATGTAGGGTGGATTCCTTCTGGATGTTGTAGTCGGACAAAGTCCTTCCATCCTCAAGTTGCTTTCCTGAAAAGGACTATTATAGTTACAGTAAATTGTTTTCGCGTTTTCGAAATGACATACCTGCGAAAATCAATCGCTGCTGGTCTGGGGGAATTCCCTCCTTATCTTGGATCTTGGCCTTGACGTTCTCGATGGTATCAGAAGCTTCCACTTCAAGAGTGATCGTCTTTCCGGTAAGGGTCTTGACGAAGATCTGCATTCCACCACGAAGTCGGAGAACCAAGTGAAGTGTGGACTCTTTTTGGATGTTGTAGTCAGATAGCGTTCGGCCATCTTCGAGTTGTTTACCTGAATTAATCATGATTACAGCACCCCTACCACGCAACAGGAAACTTTCTGGCAGCTAATACACAAATAATGCATACCGGCAAAGATCAGTCTTTGCTGATCTGGAGGAATTCCTTCCTTGTCCTGGATCTTGGCCTTCACGTTCTCAATGGTGTCAGAGCTTCGACTTCGAGAGTGATAGTCTTTCCGGTGAGGGTCTTGACGAAGATCTGCATTCCACCACGAAGTCGGAGAACCAAGTGAAGTGTGGACTCTTTTTGGATGTTGTAGTCAGACAGCGTTCGGCCATCTTCGAGTTGTTTTCCTGAATGCAGAAGTATAGTGAATGTGGAATGAGTATGCTAGGAGTACTTTCTACAGACAACCTGAAAAGCTATGTACCTGCAAAGATCAATCGCTGCTGGTCTGGGGGAATTCCTTCCTTGTCCTGGATCTTGGCCTTCACTCTGGTCTTGGCCTCAAGCGTTCTCAATTGTATACGATGCTCGACTTCCGAGAAAGTGAATGCGTCTTTCCCGGTAAGAGTCTTGACGAAGATCTGCATTCCACCGCGAAGTCGGAGAACCAAGTGAAGTGTAGACTCTTTTTGAATGTTGTAGTCAGACAATGTGCGACCATCTTCGAGTTGCTTGCCTGAAATTATACAACACAGTGACTCAAGCGTCACTCAAGTTTGTTCACTGACAGAGCACAAACTGCTTACCAGCAAAAATCAGTCGCTGCTGATCTGGAGGAATTCCTTCCTTGTCTTGGATTTTGGCCTTCACGTTTTCGATGGTGTCAGAGAGGCTCGACTTCGAGCGTGATAGTCTTTCCAGTGAGAGTTCTTGACAAAGATTCTGCATTCCACCACGAAGTCGGAGAACCAAGTGAAGGGTGGATTCCTTCTGGATGTTGTAATCGGACAATGTGCGTCCATCTTCGAGCTGCTTGCCTAAAAACTATAGTCCCGAAAGTGACTTAAGCCGTCACTAAGTTTGTCCACTAACAGAAGCACAACTTACCAGCAAAAATTAGTCGCTGCTGATCTGGAGGAATTCCTTCCTTGTCCTGGATTCTTGGCCTTCACGTTCTCAATTGTATCCGATGCCTCGACTTCGAGAGTGATGGTCTTTCCGGTAAGAGTCTTGACAAAGATCTGCATTCCACCGCGAAGTCGGAAGAACAAGGAGAGATGGTTCCTTTCTGATGTTGTATCGCCGACAATGAATGCGTATCTTCGAGTTCTTGGCCTGAAATTAGTTACCGACGGACCGAGCCGGTTACTCAAGTTATTACACCTAGCAAAATCAATCGCTGCTGATCTGGAGGAATTCCTTCCTTGTCCTGAATCTTGGCCTTCACGTTCTCGATGGTGTCAGAAGCCTCCACTTCAAGAGTGATAGTCTTTCCAGTTAGTGTCTTAACGAAGATTTGCATTCCACCGCGGAGTCGGAGAACCAAGTGAAGGGTGGATTCCTTCTGGATGTTGTAATCGGACAATGTGCGTCCATCTTCGAGCTGCTTGCCTAAAAAAGCAAATAATCACTCACGATCATGAAAACATGCTGAAGCAATTCAGTTCAAGGACAAACCAGCAAAGATCAATCGCTGCTGATCTGGAGGAATTCCTTCCTTGTCCTGAATCTTGGCCTTCACGTTCTCGATGGTGTCAGAAGCCTCCACTTCAAGAGTGATAGTCTTTCCAGTTAGTGTCTTAACGAAGATTTGCATTCCACCGCGGAGTCGGAGAACCAAGTGAAGGGTGGATTCCTTCTGAATATTATAGTCCGACAGAGTCCTTCCATCCTCGAGTTGTTTTCCTGAACGTATGTGTATAGTGAACGCGAACTGAGTGCGCTAGGATTGCTGTTGTGGGCGCTCATGTCCTTAAGGGGGACATTGAAGTGAGTGGGCCACCATAGAACTCGGGACTAAGCCTTAGGGAGGGGAAAGGATTCTGGGAGAGGATGTGAGCAACCATTGTTCTCCCTGGTGTTTATTCCCAATCCTGGGCTTAGTCCTAGTGTCACCTACCAGCGGTTTTTGAATGCCCTGTTTGAATGTCCCCCCTAAGGACATGAGCGTCCGTGAGAGAATAACCCTGCATACCTGCGAAAATCAATCGTTGCTGATCTGGAGGAATTCCTTCCTTGTCCTGAATCTTGGCCTTCACGTTCTCAATGGTGTCAGAAGCCTCGACTTCGAGAGTGATAGTCTTTCCAGTGAGAGTCTTCACGAAGATCTGCATTCCACCACGGAGTCGGAGAACGAGATGAAGGGTGGACTCCTTCTGGATGTTGTAGTCGGACAAAGTGCGCCCATCTTCGAGTTGTTTTCCTAAATTAACGATTCGATTAGTTTACGATAACTGAACCATCTGGGGATTATAACAAACTCGGACTTTGTAAATTACCTGCGAAAATCAGTCGCTGTTGGTCAGGAGGGATGCCTTCCTTGTCCTGAATCTTGGCCTTCACATTCTCAATAGTGTCGGACGCTTCGACTTCGAGAGTAATAGTCTTTCCTGTTAGGGTTTTGACGAAAATCTGCATTGTACTGAAACGAAAACAATAACACTTAGTTGCCTACTGCATCTGCATATATAAGACCGAATTGAAACAGAGTAAACGACACTCATGAATGCCTGAATGTGAACCAAAGGAAGACAAGACGATTGAAAAAGCTAAACGAAAGAGTATGGGACAGTGAAAGACCTCAAGAACGAGAGGAGGGAGAAGAAACGACCGACCACCGTTTGCCCTAGTGAAAATGAATGCAGCGGATGGGTGGCGTAGCCGACCAAACACCGATCAATAGGGCCCGCCCCGAATCGATATCAACCCGGCCTGTGCCCCGCCAGCAAAACATCCCCGTCCATTCTAACTTCACATGGACTTTGCTCAGATGACGTACGTCATATGATAGGTGAAAATTGTGAGTCATAATGAACGCTGTTGATTATTTTCAACTAAAATTGCGCAAAGTGCCAAAATAGAAATTGTTGCGAGTCTATTAGCAAAATATTGAGAACGGGTACGATTTCCTTAGTTGCGGCCAGTGTAGCTAGTTTTGGCATAATAAAACTATGGAATAAGGTACCAAATACAATTGGACAAGCTAGGATTGGTGAGAACTTTCGAAATGAAGGATTGTTCGAGGCAAGGAAGTATCTTCGGCGCAATGTGCCTGGGGAGGGGGCAGTCTGTCGTAAGGCCACTAGGACTAAGCCTAACGCAGAGGGACAAGTTCCGGAACGAGTGACAATTGCTTACGCAGCTCGGATTCCCTTCCCATCCCAAAACTGGAAGTTTCCGTGTATTACGCAATGTCGGAAATTCAGTATTACGCAATTTACGTCAAGATCTTCTGCAACCAAGAGGTGACGAAAGCCTTTTGAAGAAAAAGACCAAAGAATAATGTTATAGTGGGTGAGAGCTCCAGACAATACTACAAAAACGCTGAACACCGCAAGCCTCAGTTGTGACAGAATCCCTGAGCCAATGTTCCGGCTAACTCCCCTGAGTCACATTTGCGTTTTAATATCTCCACAAACATATCTAGCTAATATTAAAACACGCCAAATTTGTTGCATATAAATATGGAATTTTCAGCTGCATTATCTAGTTTCAGCGCTTTTATTAAGTTGAGAATGGAAATAAATGGCAAAAAAAGAGCATGACGTCCCCAGCGCATGGAGAACATACAGAACACTGATTCTTAACAAGAACCGTTAAATCCTGAAGAGAAGCGATGAACAGAGCAGCTCCACAGCGACCGAGGCCAGTGTGCTATCGACCTGACGCTCGCTCTATTTATACAGCCGCGACGCGGAACGTTCTCGAACCATGTGACTCAGCTTAGGCCACCTGATGCTTTAGATGATTTCATATGAAATCATTTGTTTTTTCCTGTCCTGAGTCACCATGATCATATTGCACAGATTAGCTGATGTATTTTTGGAAAATGTCATCCACGTAATTGCCATTTATTTGAAACACGTGCAGAATATAGTACGTTGTTCGATTAATCTATTAAAAAGAAAAAACCTTTATAAACGAAATAATTAAAATGGTTCGTTTCGCTCCTTCCTCAGACGAACCTTATTATTTCGTCAATCCCCGGAGCTCATCAGTGAGTTGGGATTGGCGAAATAAAGACACAACGACAAACCAGAAAGTCCTTTCTATTCTTTCAGAACCATAATTAGAAAACACGTGTTCAAAACCATGGATATCATATTCTTCTTGTGTAAAGCTTTAGTACTAAGCGGAAGGAAAACCCCCTAATCGTGAGCAATTTCGCTTCTCCGGGAGGCTTCCCCCCTTTCTAGGCTTAGTCCTAGCTCTCACTAGGTAAATATTACTTTTCATAGACGTTTATGTTATAAAACACAAGAACACATACATTATACAAAAACCAGAAGAAACAACGTAGGAATAAAGCTGATAGCAGCTCGTAACTTTAAAGGACTCCTTGAGCCAAACTGGCATTAGAGCAGACTGTGCACTGCGCGTACCTCTTAACTGTAATAGACCCTTAACTTATCAAGAGCTGTAATAAGGGGCTGGTGGGGCAGCTGAGCAGTTTATGCTGTTTTTAATAGTTCCGATTTCCGCATGGAGGAAACTGCGGGGTGAAGAAGTGGGAGCGAAATGGTCCTGTCGGATTTTTTCCCTTGCAAAAACTGTGGATGGAACGAAATCGCACCATAGGCCTTCTTTATTGGAGTAGGCTGGACCCGATATCACCCTTCACCTTGAATAGCTCAATTTTCGAAAAGCACTAAACTGAACGGTCAGTATGAACCTAGAACATCAAGTTCAAAGTTCGTTCTGACTACGAGATCATCCCATCAACTGCCCGTTGTCTGCACTCAAACGACGACCAGTTCTTAGCCCTTGTACTCATTCAAATGTGACGTGAGGAACCCATTTCGCAAGTGATATTGGTTGCTGGGCTAGTTTTCGTTTCGCGATCGATTCGGGCGACAATCGGAGAACGGCAAGATGCAGAAGCAGGTTTCATGCTAGAAACTAATAGAAGTCGCTGGAACCAGCTGTTTCCACCTCTGCCGTTGTATCAATTCATAATGATGGCAAGTAAACTCTGAAACGGCATAGGGTTAAAATTTACCAAATTTCTCTAACTTTTGCACATACTCACATTCCCTCAAATGTGTTCTCTTTCCATTCATTTAGAAACAAGAACCCCTTTCCATCGGATGCGTCCCTTTTCCCTTCCGAAAATGGCAGTTTTTCATTTGGAATTCTCAACAGATAGTTGACCGTGCTGTTTCCCGTAGCGAGATGTTTCGTAATTGCAGACTCAGCAGCATACGCGTTGACTGCGTGGAAAACCGTTAGTAGTGTATAGACTCGATATAGTGCGGGAGGTGCTCCTAACGCCATCCGATGCCACGTTAGTGACCATGTCTGGAAGTGCCACATGTCTTGCCGTGGGAAACATAGAATTTCTGATCATTTTAGATTTCCAATTGATTGTGAAGGTTCTCGTATTGATGTCAAGCTAATTTAACCTTTTTGCTTTATCTCGCTGAAGAGGAAGAGGGAATGTGGAACAAATAAAATTTCTTCCTCTATGAAGGAAGAAAGGCCGGGATATTTTCCACAATACTTGATTTCGGAGATCGAAAGCTCTACTTGAGTTTTCGTCAGCTCTTGCACTTTTTGTTTTTATTTTTCCAAATGTTATGATGCAAAAGCTGGCGGTACGTAATAGCCAGCCGCTCATCCAGATACTACAACGAACTTAAAGGCACGGGTCGCGATAGATCCTTAGGAGCGATTCTCTTTGTGCTTGAGCCAGCAGGATCTAACATAAGTACAGGTGTCGTGGCACTGTCGGGGATCAAGAGTGCGCGGCAAGGGCTACGCCCTCCCTCCGAGTGTTCCCGTAACGCTACTTATCGCCGCTTTGTGTCTCACCATCCTACCCTGGTTGAACTCGCAAGAAAAAGCGCCTCTTTATTTCAGTGTTTTCTGTGCTCCTTTTGCTTTTTTTCTCTCAAGCTGATGACTCCATTTTCACACCCTCGTCTCATAATTCGAATGAATATTACAACAAATTTGGTCGGCGACCCGTGACTTTAAGTGCAAGTGGAATCAACACACTGATAGCTCTTCAAACTTTTTTCTTTCACAGTTTGAAAATTCCTAAGTAAAGCAGTGATGAATTGTTTCACTGCATAGAAAGATCCATCATGGTTTCTTATGAGCAAAGGATTGCAAGTGACATGTAGTGTAATAGTATAACATATGAGTCGGTGTATGAGCTCTGAATTTACACATTGCAAAGCGGCCATAATTTTCACGAATTTCCATCGCCATAACGCAAGTGCGTCTGAACATGCAGTGTTTAGGAAAGGTTATGCACTGTGACGAAAAGGGGTTATTTTGTTGTGTGAAAGGGTTGCTGGTGTCTGATAAGGAGTGTGGAACCAGATAATCAGTAATCACTAGAAACATCAATAAGAATCACCAAATGTCACCCACACGTTCAAACTCACGGTAAGGATTGCTTGGTGAATTCAACTGACGAACTCGAAAATATGGTAAAGTATCAAAAATTACATTTTCCCAGAACTATATCGCCTTTAACGACATAATGATCCAGTTAATCTCCATCATCCACCTGTCAGAAATCAACGTCCCTTCAGAATAGTGTGTCCTATGGGAAAAATAAAGATAAGCCCCCCCGAAGTTGAAGGCGAAAGGTAAATTCGACAACTTCGATTTAACACGTTGGTAGGCGCCATGCACCAACGTTCTCTTGACAATCCTGAAACATTTGAAAGCGCCACCAGGTCTAACGACGGGTTGTTTGCGGCCGGACGCCGTTCATATCAATGTTCTTCTTCTCTCAAAAGCGAGTATGATGTAGAAAAAGTCTGGCAACAGATGTCCCGAAACAAGGCATGAAACATTCGATAGATTTTACGGTTCTCAGGTGGCTCCACGAATTTCTTGCCCACGCGCCAGTGCCGCTATACCATCGCTGGGTTTAATGAGCTAATACCGAACTTCAGCGCTCCCTGTTACTCAATGAGAATTTCTGTCACTCAAATATTCGATTGAGGACCACGGGATTTTTGCTTGGCCGACGCTGATCCTCTTAATGTCTGGCGAGACGGACGTGTAAACACCATTGTTTTTGTTTACGCAAATTGTCGACGTTGAGGAGAGAAAACACAGAAAATGCGATTTGAAAACAATAGGCTGATTCGTTGGAAACACTAGGAGCAAAACTCAATTATTATAAAACATGGAACAGTTCGGACACAATCTTCATATTCCTCCTGTCGCATGTATACACTCTGCTTCTGAAAACCGGAAGAGCGTCGAGTGCAGACCGCACACTACAAGTGACGACGGCCTCTACAAAATGTATATGTTTCTACCAATAAAAGTATAAACCTGATGCAGTTGTACATATTCTTCCAGCAGTCACTAATTACAACTCTCATTTATCAACTGTCAGCTAACACTATGAACCACTGATTACAAGATTTACTTGGAGGCCGTCGTCACTTGTGATGTGTGTTCTGCACTCGACGTGCTTCTGGTTTTCTGAAAGAGAACATACGTGTTTTTTATGCGTACTCAGTTTTGGGGTTATGAAGTGGCCATCAAATACAAATCCGTCAATTTCGAAGCAGGTGAGCGATTAAATATTTTTACCTAGAACTGTCAGCTGTCAAAGCCGATTACTTGATTTAGCCACACTGGATCAAGAGTCGAATTAGCTTAGCCATTCTTCATCAATCGAGTGCTCTTAATTCGCCCTGGAGGATGAGGCATAATTCACCCAGGAGATTAAAAATTGACGAATTCCCCTCTCTCCCCCACCTACTTCCACAAATCACTCTATGGACCACATATGCACCCAAATTGATGCATCTTCTTCGAAGAGATCTGAGTGCATAGGGCCGATGTCAGACTTTAAGAATCGCGCGATTCGCTAGCGTCTGCGGTCGCGTTGCGGTACCAGACAATTAAGTGATTCGCTGACCTCGACGCGACCACAGACGCTACAGCGAATCGGCCGACTTCAGCAAAGCCTGACATCGCCTAGAGGTCGGAATGTGGGATCCAGTTCAACCGACGAAATGGGATGGATCAACCTTGCGGCTGCAAAGTGTTGTCCATTAATCAAACGCTTCTCATCCAAGGATAATACGGATTGTGTCATCAGTGCGCAGAGAACTCTGTCAGCTTTCACCCATTCTTCGGCATTGACAATCTTTCTTTCTCTCGTCGTGCCCGTTAAGAACTTCGTTTAAATATTGAAAATTTCGCCTGCAGCGTTCAACAACGAATTTCGAAAACGATGAGCGTAAAACTGATTGGATCGATCCCAAGTTTTATATGTGAATTGATTATCGATCCGACAAATGATATGGTTCAACATTCCCCATTACAGTCTGCGGAATTCTCTTGGAAAGTGAAGGGCACATAAAGGGCGAAACCCTACAAGCATGTATCGAAACAACTTCTTACTTTGATAACTAGGTAAGTATAACTAGTTCCCTCCAGGAATTTTGAATCCAGTGCGATATTTATATATACGAAATTCTAATGAAATTGTTATGTAATCTGTGTGTTTGTTGTTTGCAAATTCCTCTCGACCTTTTCTTTAGCTTATAGTTAGAGTCACTTGAGTGCGATATTTGGCCAATAAAATGGCCATTTCAGTGTTTTGATCTAGAAGTAGAAAAAATTGAACCCATTTTTTGCGGGGATTCCCTTTAAAGGCTTACCTCGCGATGAGTCCAGATGGATCATTTCTTTCCGTGCGCAGAATAGACCTGCCTTTTAACACGCTGAGGACAGCATGACGCGCATGCGGCCGAATCTCTCTCCATTCCGACCAGTTTTTTTTTTTTTCGATTTATTTGGCCTTTTTTTTCTTATTTTCAACGCCTGTTTCGCCATTATTATCGAATAAAACTGTGCATCCATTTCCAGTAGTGAAGCTGAGGGACACGCACAAGGGGCTGTCGTCAACGTGTAAGTCCCCCCCACCCCCCCCCCCGCCCAATGTCCTGTTCACTTGCTCGAGTGCGCTAGGGCCTTCCCAAGACTGTTTCGACCGCTTCCTTTTTCCTCTTTCGCTACATGATGGCGTCTGCGCCCTCTCACTCCTTGGGCTTATGTCTCCGCCTCAGCACAATCGCGCTGCAAAAATGAATGAGACGTTATTTTGATATTTTCCTTTTTCTTCAGTACCGATCCACTTCCCTGCGCACTTAATGTACAGGCCATCAGGTGCTAACTTATAGGGGGGGGTGGGGACCACACGCCTCGCGGCGAGCCCTTGTTCGTACTCGTTCTTCTGAGGACTAGTCATTGGCGTTTGTTATCTATGTATTCTCACGCAACCGTACAGTTTCGAGCCATAATGTAGACTAAGCGCTCATGGGATAGACGAACAGGAGCGCCGCGCAGCCCTGCGTGCCCCACCCCTCCCCCCCCCACCACTTGTTAGCCCTCGCCCATTAGCCATTTTAATGTGGTGTGCCTTCAAAAATGACAAAATTGATAGAGAACGACTGACTGCCATCCTCAGAAAATTTTACTTGATTAGTTTTAATATCATATTAATTTTTCACAAAGGATATCTCCTGAGCTGCGTCCTAATTTCGGAAATGAGCGATTTTGTTCCAAAGTTCTGTGGTCTATAGAGCGAACGAAAGTGGTTTTTGATGAAGTAGCAAGAAAACAATACTTGCAGAGCAGGAATCTCAAAATTGACGTCAACGGTCTCAGCAATAACGTTTCCACTCAGCAACTACGTATGACCTTTACTCTTGTTTCTACCAATGTATCAACAACCTATGCCCACATTCTGATGTTCACGTGAAGACAGGAACTGTTCAGTGTCCTACCAAAGGACCAAAGACCTTGCACTACAGCAGGGTTTTCAGTGACGAATCTGTGTTCAGTACGAGCCGTTAGCGACCACTGATTGATAACACCTGCTGCTATCACTGATCAGCTGACATGACCTTCGAAATCGGCACACGGAGCTGTTGTTTTGGAAACAATAACACATCCCGACGGAACTTTCCACAAGCAGGGATTTTCTGTATTTTTTTGAATATGACTGGATGAGGCCACAATTGGTAGATCCAGCACACCTGCAACCCTTTCAAAAATGGATTCCAAATCTTGTTCCTTGTGCAGTAAATGCGAACAAAGGCACATTCTAATGATTGCCTAATGTGGGTTTTGACCTTAACGCGTCTACGATCATTCCGAAAATGATGGTGTTGTACAGGTAACTGATTAGTCGACCAGCCTTATTTATTTATGCGTTCAATGATGCGCCAGTTATGAACAGGAGGTGATGCGGAAACTGTCCTGCACTGACCCAAAAAAACCACAAAAGAAACCTGCCATTAATAAATAAGTTAACAAAAATCTCAGAAAATGGGCAATGAATCGGAAAAAGAGAGCTACAGAAAAGCGAGAAGCACGTCCTTCCTAAAAGCTGCTTTCCTCTTAAAGGAATCTTCCACGGAAAAAGCTCCGCCCTCATTACCACAGAAAACGATACCTTAAAGGAATCTTCCACGGAAAGAGTGATCATTTTGTCTTGTGTGTAGGATTAGTATTATCGAAACTAACGCTTATGTTCCGTTCTTTTTGCTATGCTCATGAGGCTAGGGGCCTAGGGGTATCGTTTTTCTGTGGTAATGGAGGCGGAGCTTTTTCCGCGGAAGATTCCTTTAAGCAGGCAGATATGACGAAATGAGCAATTTGAACCTTCTTATCACGCTCACAGAACCAGCGACAGGAATATGAAGTTTTCACAGAAAGCAATGGGAACCTAGGCCTACATCCTGTGGAACGATCAACAAGGGGGGTTGAGGCTCAGCACGGCGAGATCGTGTGGCCAGGGTCAACCGTTACGTTGGACCGATATTGGAGCGACGTTGGACCGATGTTGACCGCTCTCCGCGCCGGCATTCACTCTCGCCACCCGCGAGCCGTCTGTGTCTCCGTGCGTACGTTCACTCTCGGCATTACTCTCGTCGTCGCGTTGGACTTTGTCCAACGGACGGTTGACCCTGCACTGGATACCCCTGTGTCCTGAGGTCAGTTACCAGCGCCTTCAAGACACGGTGACCAGTCCCGCGATTCACACCCACATGGAACAAGTAGTTAGAAAACAAGTTGCCTCAGCCCATAGCTGCCACAAACTTTTTGTCGCGCAAGATGTCGCTGTTGTGGGAAGTTTTACGGCAAATATTCCTTAGATGTCTCATAAGCAAATAGACCCACCTTCACCACCCTCACCGTGTTCAGAATGCGACGTCATTTGCTATCGCCGTCGAGCTCATTTTGTAAGCATTCAAGGTGGGCTTAGGTATCTTTTCTTATTTGGAAATGGCTAAACTGATGAATTGATCTTCCCCTCTCTTGGTGGCAAGCTCTTTTCCCTGTCGATCCCTAATTAATTACTGTAAACAGTTTATCGGCAAGTGCTTTGACGGCAAGCCCCGGGATAAAACCTGGGATAACAGCGCTTCCTAGTCATAACTGAGCTGGAGAGCTACCTGGAAGTGGAAAGGAAAGCAAGAGAAATCTTTGGGAACGCTGAAATTAAGGCCTTAACCTTCAATAAGGTCGGATGTGGTACGATGGCGAGACAGGGCGATCAAAGAAGACAAAACACGCGAGAGATCACGCCGTTCGAGAGAGCACGCTGATCTCTACATCAATCGAGGTGGGTGGGAAGCGTTGCAACGGGGGTCGATGGTTGCAGGCCCGTAAGGATTAGCGCCCTAACCGCGCAATTTTGCGACGAAGCTGGAGTGATCTAGGTAGGTACGGACCCCGCATTTTACTCGCGGCGTCCTTCCTACAAGTCCGGCTGATCCCGGGGTCTGCCTTCGAGTTGTGGACGCTGCGCTCTGATTGGGGTACGACTTCGATAGCGACGCTTCACCACTACGGTCATGAAGTCTGTTCCGCTTGTGATGCCTATTCAGCATAATTTTGATGACCAGGATAAAGTGATACACCAACCCAAGATTATACTCGGTGCTTGTACCAGATCTTTGTAGTTGCAGTTGAGAAAATCAGAACAGGATACCACCTGGGGCGTTCAGCTTTTCGCTCCACGTTGCGCTCAGTTATTGCCGATATCCGCTTGAAAACTAGCTGAATTGGTCGTCTTTCGCGCTTTGTCGCCAACGACACCTTTTGGGACAAGGTGTTTCCTCGCTCGTCCATGCTCGTCTGGTACATTTTGTTCACCTTCGTCGGCTTTTCTACAGCCTCTGTCAGATCTAGACGTCAGGCGGCACTGGCCGTGAATCAACAGGACATCCCTATTCACGCTGAGGTACGCCTGGTTCGATGAGCGATTCCAAACCCTCCAGAAACGATGAGATCGGTACATCGCAATGGTTAAAGGCTTGTTGCGCTTACTTGAATCTTACGATTAGTCCTTGTGCACAAACAGAAGGTTCCACAGCTCAGGGTTTGAACAAGGGGTATCAGGCGAACGTTACTGGAAAAATACGATTAGCATAATGCCCTAACCTAAATATAACGGTCCAACCCATACAGTTGCATTGCTTCACTGCAAATTCGAATGCATCGTGTTGAGTGACTAATCTGAAGGACCGATCCATGTGTTCACCTCTTTACTTGGAAGAAAATTGTTTCAGATCACTCATAACGTGCCTGACACCTATTCGAGACTACCTATGCCTTGGACCCAGGGTAGAGGTGCTGAAGAACGAGAGAATCGGGCTGACAGATCGCAGAGGCGCCGCATACGGTTATGTTGATGGCGTTGACATCGGGTAAGCGCTGTGAACATATATTTTGTTTCGATAGATGTCTTTTTTTTGATTCTGGTCAAGATCCATGATCCATACTATTCTTCAGGCTATGGGGCAAAGAAGCAGCCAACATATCGAAAAGATTCGCAACTGCAGATCTGAATATATTTTTGCTTTCGGCTTGTAGGATAAGAAAACCGTTAGCCCTTTTCTTACCCGTTAATTAATATGTGCAATCTTTTTCAAGGTTATCTATCGACTGACTTGGATTTCCCCTCCCTCGCTCTTTGGAATTTAGAATTCAGGCATGATCAGCCATTCTGCCACCCCCCGGTCGTTCCGTGGCTGCACCCTCAATACATGGCTGAAAAAATTTCCCCCGTTTCTTCAAACCCGCCTCTATTCACAATTTCATTTTATCTATAGCAAACAGAATATCGTTTCGTTGTCCTGGGCTGCTTCACAAGACTTCCACTCAGACTCAGGTCACTTATATTCTGAAGCATTGAATGTTGTCTCACTTAGCCGATGTCAGACTTTGCGAATCGCGCGATTCGCTAGCGTCTGCGGTCGCGTCGCGGCCAGTGAATCACTCAATTGGCTGGTACCGCAACGCGACCGCGGACGCTAGCGAATCGCGCGATTCGCAAAGTCTGACATCGGCTATAAGTTTTTGAATAGTGAGAAGTAGGTCTTGAAGAATTTTTTCTTGGCCGTGTTCCACGAAACTGCATGAAGCTTCTAAAAGCCGGGTCGGTTCATTTTCTGATACAGAGGGCCCTTGTGACATGGGCGTCAGAGGTGACGAGATTAGTTTGTGTTGATTGTTGGAAACATAGGGCAGTTTGCTGAGGGAAATCCAGTAATTGGTAGCAGTAGTAATGGAAAGCTGAAGTGAATAGTATTGGCTTTCTCATTGTCATCATAGTTTTATTTTTATTATTTATCATCCCTGGTTATACAAGGAAAATTCATTATGCTGCCCTTTTTACACGAGATTTTGGAAATTTGTAATTTTAGTGCACTCGCTTTATAAAAAAAAGTAACCCTACAGCAATAAATTGATGTTTTTTTAGCTTGAAAGGCATTGAGAAAAAGAATTCCCTTTTTTAATATTACATTCAGCATTCTGACTGATATAGTCAAAAAAATTAAAGCTTTCCATGTAACATATTATAGCTACTGAAACCGTTGAATGTGCCGATGATCGAGGATGAAACAGAAGTGGGCCATCATATAGGCGCCGTGGTCGATGTGACTGATCGAGATGGTGTTGTCGAGTTCGGCGATCGCCTCAAAGTATTCAAAGGATTCCGCTTGAATAAGTTCATGCAACTATTCACTATTCAGTCTCATTCCGTTCCGAAATCCCATTGTCCCACTAATATCGGAGTTATTGCAGTGGAGGAATCGCTGAATGGGATCGTGCGGGGGCTGGCGTTGACGTCGGCTCAAGGGCATCAGCAGCTGATGATATTGTGAAGCTCCGATGGACACTACTGGGTGTGAACGTCGGACCGACAGCCAGTCGAACAATTGTCGGCCCTGGTCCCGGGACTCTGGGACGGGCCAAGGGTGCAGGTATGTAGCTCGCTGGTCTTTTTAGAGGTCTTTCATCTAGCAGGATAGCTTTGACAGTGAAAAGAAACAGGTGGAGGAAGATTGATTCAACCGGAAAATCAATCGATGTACTTTATCGATCACAGCAAGACATTCCTTTTTCTCAATTCAGCTCTGAAAACGTACACGCCGTTCCCATCGTTCTACCGTGGCTACTACAATCGCGGTGACTGGTACCGTAATCAGTTTTACAACCAAGGTAGGTGCCTGGCTGTAAGAGTGCTTCCACATTACAACTTCCAGAGTTCTTCTCGGTACATGGTTCTTTGAAAGGCACATTCCGCAATTAGATGAATTCATCGAGATCTTTTCGGAAGGTGGTAGACTGGCGAACAAGCATTGAGAAATCGCGATTTTGTCGCGGCTCAAATGTGCACAGCAAGAGCGCCAAAGGCTCTCTTTCCGCAAAGTACGCCTCCCACGCAAGCTCCGCCTTCTGCAGTTATGTCTGCGTCTTCACGCATATTCCATGCTTTTTTCACGTTTTTTTTTGTTTCAACGGAAAGTTCCCTTAGTGCACGGTTTCCAGAATTTGTTGTCAAAAATTTCTTTCGCTTTTTTCTTCCTCACTTTCGGTCCATTACGCTTTTCTGATATCATTTTTTGTGCAAAACAGTACTCTACCAGTTGTGTAATTGCCTATGACCTTGTG